ATATTTTGATACTTCAGTTCTTTTTCTCTTTCTCTCCATTGCCCACTCATCTTATCCCCTAAGGGAAGAGATTTGACCCAACCCAACGTGAACTCTGATTAGCAAGAGAGTAAGGAGCTCCCTTTTGTAATTCAAGGCAAAGATAGCCATTTGGCTGCCTTAGAAATCGTGATCCAATATCATCTGTGATGGCTTATACTATCAGTTCACTCTGTCTACTTGCTTCTGTGCCCAGAAATTGTTTATGTGCTCTTGTGTATAATAACACGTATCCTGACTTATTGTTTCAGTTGAGAGACAGACCTCATGTAAATGTAGGAGTAAAGTTAAATCCTCCTTAAGCACCGTTCTAATGTTTCTTTGCCATATGTTCTGTGGCCTTTAAAGGGGAAGCAGCAGAATTATCATGGAAATATAAAAACTGTGATAGAAATAAAAATATATGGTGATAATATTAATATTGCATAAGCATAATAAATTACAAAGAAAACAGCGCAGAAATCATATGTTAAGGCAATGAAGATTGGTATGTTTGGTTTTTTACTTCCTTAAAACATGCTCAGCAGTGTTATCAAGGCATTATTTATCACACATGATTTCTCTTTACTTGTTTTTGTTATTATTTGGCTTCAAAATGTATTCATATTGGCATTCAAATATTTAAGAATATTTGGAGGGAATTTAAGACCATCTTTGCCACTTACTTTTTTCCTACAGGTGGCTTTCAGTTTGTTCAGAATCAGTACCAGGCTTTTACCGAGGTAATTTTCTAAATGATCTTTCAGCTACAAATTTTGTGAGTTACAAGACTATGCCACATTTGTCTCATTTTCTCATGACTGAAATAATTATGTGTGGAGAAAACTGGGTCTCTAAATTATCATGTAGCTATTAAATATTATTAAAAATACTATAAACCATCCTATTAAGTAGGTGTAATTTTTCAAAGAATCCCTGTCATTCAGTTCTCAGATTTCAAAGGGAAGACTAGTCAAACCTATCATGTATTTTGTGTGGCATTTATCTAGTTTCATTTATTTTTTGGCTTATGTGATCACATTTGCATTGGGCCTGCCTAATTGATAAATTTCTGTTTAAATGAAAAATAAAACCTGCATGTATTCTCTAATTTCTTACTAGTTGGTGGTGTGGGGAAGCCTTGTTGGGTGTGGGTTTGTTTTAGTGGGAAGATAGACTGTATTTCAAAATATGCTACATTTTTAAATGTAGATCTCAAGTGCGAAAAGAAAAGTTTTAATGAATGACAGGTTACTCTCAATAGCATGAAATTAGATCACGTTTAACACTGAAATTTCAGCTTTCACCTGGAATTTAAATACCTGGCAATTTGTTCTTATCTGCATGTAAATGAAAAGCTCACTAGACTTATTGTGAAAGAATTGTAGAAAGTTTCAAATGAATTTTAATGCCAAAATTGTTCAAAAGAAAAATTATACAAATATCAATGGCACTGCCAGTATCCTTGGTGTCACGAGAAAAGAAGGTTAATATTTTGCTCATACTACTCAAAAGCAGGTGACAATTCTTTTCATGTTCATAATTTAAGAGAAGTATAATGGTGCTTCAGCCAACTGTCCAACATATGGTTTCTAATTGCAAGTGTGGTTTATGACAGGAGAAAAATAGACTGTGCTTCTTTGGTTCGATGGAAAGCAGAATTTTTATGGGATGTCAGGGAAATAGATATGTGGGTTGGAAGATAAAGATCCCACTCCATTGTAAGAACATGAGAGCTAGATGTGTGTCTGTAGCCACAGAGATGGAAACTTTAGTTCTTATGTTTGTAATAGTCAGCCCCTTATATTTTACATGTAGATTGTTCAAAATTAAGCCCTTCCATGAGAGTTTGACTTAAAGTCTCTATGAAGAAGAAGAACTATATACTCAGTTTCTCCCTGGATCGTCTCTCTAAATCACGGAGGGCAGTTGCATAGGAGTAGAAGTGAGATAATGAAGATTTTGCTTCTTTACTTTGACTTAGCTTCAAAATTAGTCTATCTCCTATATCTCTGTCTGTTGTGCTATGGCTAAAAGTAGGGTTACGAACCACTTACAGAAGAATTAGTCAGTATAAGACTTGCAGTTCCAGATTTTCCTAGTAATGACCAGCCTCTGTGTATCTCTGCCCAGGTAGCATCTGAAATTAGAATAGACTTCAATAGTGAGAGAAATGGGATTTATCTATACTTGTTTGGAAGGAGAACCTGTAAAGATTTAGAAGTTGGCATCTATTGATTGTCTTTTTTATTCAGTTTGAGATTTTCCTGGTTCTCGGTGTGTCAAGTGATTTTCAGTGGAAACTTGGACATTTTTGTATTATGGTATGTGACTTTAGACCTTATTGAAACCTTCTGTATTATTTGGCTTTGTCTGACACCTGTCCAGCAAAGAAAGGAGTGGGTGTCACACTGTCACTCCCACATGGATGTAGAAATCCTGGCTCCGCACTTGACCTCTGTTGACACACAGCGGGGTGGTGCCATGTCTTTTTTACTGTTGGGCATTGTAAAACTTCCAGATACTCACATGCTCTCCTCTGACACCATAGTGGAGGTTGCCTTATTCCCAGTGGGCAGTGGTTTGACACCACTCCTGCATTGTGGGGAGAAGAGACACCCAGTTATTGCTGGGTAGAGTGGAGGTTCAGGCTTTCCACTTGGTCCCCACTGATGCTGTGGAAGATGCTTCATTATCTGCTGCCAGGCATGAAGGTCTTGGTGCCCTACCTGGACTTCTGTGATATCACTCTGGTGGGAATGTTAGAGCTCCCTGTTACGGCCTCATGAGAGTGGAAGTTTAGTGTCTGCATTCAGCTTTTGCTGGCATGGATTGTCACAGTTTCTTCTGTGGTGTTTGGCTGGAGTAAACTAAATGTTTTCTCTCTTGCTGCTCTGATGCTTTCCTAGTCCTAGGGCTAGAGAGAGCAGGCTTTTGTTGAGGCTTTTCTGGGCACCATTGGCATTTCTGGGTTGCTGGTTTCCATGCTTGGTGGAAACCAGGTTGATGACTTCTTCAGCTACAATTCTGGGATATTTGAGGCAGAAAGAAAGTCTGGGATCTCACCACCATGTTGTTTCTTGGATCTTGTGGTCCTAGGCTGGTCTGCGTTTTCTTCACCTTACAGAGTCTTACGTTTATTTTTATATAACATCCAGGTTTTTTTTTTCTTTAAGTTGTATTTAGCAAGGGGAATAAGAAAAAGTAAATCTACTCCATCTTCCTGAAAGCAGAAGTCCTTGCTATTCAATATTTGCTTTTATTTTTCTCAATATTATATTATGAAAGTTTTTAAAAATACAGAGAAGAGAATTGTACCCCACATATGTATACCCCTGGATTCAATGCTTAACATTTTGCTATATTTCACTTTATTGCATATTTTATCCATCCATCCATTTGTTATTTTTAATGATCATTAGTACACTTCAGAATGCATATCATTAATTAGACTTCGTTTTTTAAATAGTTTTCCTAAGGTAAATTTTATGTAAAGTGAAATATATAAAGTTATAAATATCATTTAATAAGTTTTTTATAATCCAACCATTATTGAGATCATTTCTATCATCCTCCTATGAATTCTCAATCCCCTTCTTAATTTATTTTAACTTCTTTCTCACTCTAAGAAAAAACTACTGTTTTGATTTTTTAATTTCTTCTTCCTCTTCCTTTTTTTGGTCATAAATTCATTTACCTGTTTTAGAACTTCGTATAAAAGGAGCCACACAATATGTACTCTTTTCTGTGTGACTTTTCAGCATAATGTTTTTGAGGTTCCTTCATGTCCTAGGCAGACCAGCCTAGGACCACAAGATCCAAGAAACAACATATCAGTGGTTTTTGATTTAGTCTTAGTTTTTTTAAAAAATTTTAATTGCTAAGTGCTATTTCACTGAATAAATAATACCATAGTTTATCCATTCTGGCCTGCTTCCAATTCATTGCCATTACAATCTGTTAGGGCAGTATCTCCCCTCAACGTAGAACATAGCCAGGCGTAGTGGCTCATGCCTGTAATCCCAACACTTTGGGAGGCCGAGGAGGGAGAATCACTTGAGCCCAGGAGTTTGAGACCAGCCTGAGCAACATAGTAAAACCTTATATACATGTAAAAAAAAAAAAAAAAAGAAAAGAAAGAGAAAAGACTTAGTTAGGCATGGTGGCACATGACTTAGTCCAGCTAATTGGGAGACTGACACAGGCGGATCACTTGAGCCTAGGAGTCAGAGGCTGTGTTGAACTGTGATTGTGCCACTGTACTCCAGCTTGGGTGACAGAGTGAGATCCTGCCCCCTTCACCCAGTAAAAGTGCAAAACAATTAAAGATTTTGTGCCTTTCTTCTGATTAATAGGATGGTGAAGGCATAAAAAAGTATGTTTCTATCATACACAATATCCACATTTTCCACATATTTTCCTGTTGTTAGTGATAGCTGTCAGGTTATTTGAAGCTGAAAACTTTTGTAATAGAAGCAAAAGATAGTTTTAGCATTGTGAAAACAGAATTTAGCTTCCTGGCACCAAATTTTATTTTTTGAAGGAGAAACCATGGTTTTCACTACATCATGACTGTAATATTCATTACTGAGAATGCCAAACTAGCCTCTGGAGGAACATCCTATTTCAGGAATACTTAGAATACTCTATTTCTGCACAAAATATTGATGTGGTTGTTGCAGATGGATTCAGCTGTGTTTCCCAGACTCATATTTGTCTGGCCCCACCTATTATGTAAGTCCCTTGCTTCTTTTCTATTTCTAATCCAAAATGATTTCCTAAGGCGACTATAATTTCTGATTGATTGATGTACTGGTTGATATCAGAGAAGTCCTACCAGTTGCCAAATGGGACAAAATAAACTTTTTGTGAGATTCCAATTCGAGTGGGCATACTCCCTTGTTACCAGTCCAAGAAGAAATAGATGATGTTGTTCCAAACTTTACGACAATCTTTCTCTAACATTATTTTTCTTTATACAGTTGACGGACTGGACAAAGCTTCTATAGCAAACTCAGATGGCCCCCCTGCAGGCTCCCAGACACCTCCCTTCAAAAGAAAGGGGAAACTGTCCACCATCGGTAAAATCTTTAAGCCTTGGAAATGGAGGAAAAAGAAGACCAGTGACAAATTTAGAGAAACCTCAGCAGGTATGAATGTCATGATTTTGTGAGAAGATGGAATACATTGGTATATTTTTCAAAAGGCTGAAAATTGTTTTTCAGGGTATTTTTTCAGAAAAAAATTAATTCACATTTGAAATAACATTCTTTTAAGGATGAAACAACATAGAGTTCTGATTTGCTCTCCTATTTCTACTGACTTCAGCTTTCTAGTGTATTTTCATTTTTAAATATATATGTGTAAATTTATATAAAAACTGATGTGTGAGGAAGGAGAGGCAAAATAGAAAATTATAAACAAAAATGTTTTTCATCAATATTGTGACGGCAAGTATCCGTTTTAATATATACACATTGGTACATATATGTATATATACCTATTCTAATAGCATCGTCTTGTTTATTAAAACATTTAAAAACTCTTTTTTGTTACATTTGCTCTTTGGGTAGAATTTAAATGGCTGTGTGAAACTAAAGTTTGTCATATTTGTTTAATTTTAAATTTTTATTGTATCCCAAATAAATAGTCTCTGTCCTAAGATAGCCATAGCCTATTGGTGTGAACATTTTTTATTGTTAATTTGTAGAGTTATTATACCTTAAGAATTACATTGTTTAGGTCGGGCATGGTGGCTTACGCCTATAATCCCAGCACTTTGGGAAGCCAAGGCGAGAGGATTGCCTGAGGGGTTTCAGACCAGCCTGGGTAACTTGTTATGACCTCGTCTTTACAGTAATAAAAAAAATTAGCCTGGTGGCCTGTGCCTGTAGTTCCAGCTACTTGGAAGACTGAGACGGAAGGATCATCTGAGCCCAGCAGGTCAAGGCTGTAGTAACCATGAGTTTGCCACTGTACTCCAGCCTGGGCGACAGAGGAAGACTGACTTAAAAAAAAAAAAAGAAGAAGAAGAAGTACTTTGTTTAGTGCCTTTCATAGGGACTTATGGAGGATGTTGGCTTTAAATCTCTGGCCAGAATTAAGCCCAATTTACACAAGTGCCAGTGTCATGGTATTTTAAGATAGAAAAGTGTTTATCCCCTTATTAAGTTCAATGTTCTCTTTGCTTACTGTCGAAAACAATTTGTTTATCAAAATTGTTCGTGCACCACGGTCTAATGTTGTCAGCGTATGTACAGGATGTATCCCAGAAGGTATCTTATTGATATGTGCTATGATAAGAGTTGACCTTTGGTTCTAGAACTGTGAAATGAAATAGAAAATACACAAGAATATGGAATAGGGACATCAAACATCCTCGAAGAAAATTGTCTCTGATGCATTTGCAGAGACAATTTGTAATTTTTTTGAGCACTTTATATTTACCAGGAAATAATGATACACTATCTGTGATTTGTTTCAAAATAATGCTGGAGGAGGGGTGAAGTAGGTTAGAGTGTAGATGAAAGAAGACTGGCAGTGAGTTGATGATTGTTTAAGCTGGGCGATGGGTATATGGGGTTTATTATTCTCATCTCTTGTAGACATTGGAAATTTTCTATAATAAAAAGATGGAAAAAGAAGATTTGGCTTAGGGGAAAATAATGATAGCTTGGTTATTGGCTAAGTGGCTTCCTGGGTTAGGAGACAGTGGGAAGTGAAGGATGGAGTGCTCTTCTATTGAGGACACCTGGGTTGTCACCTGGGGTGTCACCTTGCCACCAAGGTGGTGGATGACCTTGAGCAAATCAGGTCAGCCTCTGGTCTTCTGTTTCCTCACCCACAAAATCAGGGAGTTGAATGAGCTGCATTTTGAGGTACTTCAGTTCCAGATTCTGCTGTACCTCAGATAGGTCCCTGATCCCTTCCAACCCTGGCTGGGCATCTTGTTCTCTCTTGTTCTTCAGTCAGTTGTGCATGGAACCACGCTGGCCTTCGTAAGAGCCTGTCACTTATGTTTCCTTAAGCATTGGGAAAATCTGGCTCCTCAAGTTACCACGGATACCCATGATGGAAGTAGGGTTCTGGACGGTAGCGTAAAGAAGAGAATAAGGAGAGATTATGGCGGTCTCTTCAGTTGTCTTTCTTGCCTTTTACCTAAATCTGATCTATTATCTTTTCTTTCCTTAAAATAGAGAAGACATCTACAAAGAACTTCCCTGTCCTCTTTTCTTGTCACCTTGTTTGAATTATTTTAACAGAAGGGAAGTTATAAAATATTTCCATCAACCCTGAATATCTAAGAAAAGTCCTTTTGAACAGCACTTCAGAAAAGATTGTTAATATTATTTTAACAATCTTTTTGTTAAGTGTTATTTAGTGTTATCCCATATTTATTCAGATTAAGAATTGCCTAGCCTTCCTTCTTTGTATGCTCTCTTTCCTTTTCAAACTCATCCAGGATTTTGTATACGTTTAGCTCTAAGAGGTTATTTGTGAATACTATATCTGTAATTCTAAGGACAACCAAACTACATTAAAAACCTAAAAAGGTTTTTTTTTTTTGAGTTGAAGTCTCACTCTCTCACCCAGGCTGAGTGCAGTGGCACACTCACGGCCACCCCAGTGCCGACCTGCTGGGTTCTGGCAATCCTTCCACCTCAGCCTTCCAAGTAGCCAGAACTACAGGCGTATGCTACCACACCCGGCTAACTTTTTATTTATTGTAGAGATGAGGTCTTGACAAGTTGCCTGGGCTGCTCTCAAACCCACAGGCTTAGGCAATCCATTCACCTTGGCCTCCCAAAGTGCTGGGATTACAGACTGAGCCACCGAGCCCAGCAGAAAGAGATTAAATGCTTCCTTGGCCTATTTTGTTTTATTTTTTATACACCAAAATGCTACATTATAGAATAGAGAGGCCAGGCACATGGCCCAAGCCTGTAATCCCAGCACTTTGGAGGCCATGGCAGGAGGATTACTTGCACCCAGGAGTTCGAGACCAGCCTGGGCAACATAGCAAGACCTCATCTCTACAGAAAAATAAAATAAAATAAATTAGCCAGGCATGGTGGCTTGTGCCTATAGCCCTAACTGAGGCAGAAGGAGGCTGAGGTAGAAGGATCACCTGAGCCCAGAAGGTCAGGAGGCTCAGGCAGAAGGAGAGCACCTGAGCCCAGAAGGTTGCAGCTACTATGAGCCATGATTATGCCACTGTACTCTATCCTGGGCGACAGAGTGAGACTACAACTCAAAACAACAGCAACAACAACAAATAGAATAGAAACAAACCAAGTAGGTATATTAGCAATCTTTTGTGAATCTGCTGCATTCACTTGTAATCTTTTGTTCTAAATTCATCTTGCTAAATTCATATTTTACTTGAATTTCATAAGATGTTATACAGAGTTCCCATTATAAAGTATTTTATTATCACCTTATTTGCATTTTTATTTTAAGGCTTAAATTTCTGCTAAGATGTGTAGAATGTATCAGTAAAGCTTAAAACAGAGGTACAAGATGGTGTATCATATGTTAGTTTTTTCATACTGAGGGAAGATGTCATATCTGCAGGAAAACTGATGTATTTCAAAATAATTAAGAGAAAGATGTTTTCTTCCTTAAAATATTATCTCAAGCGGTGAAATCAAACTATTTGGATGTGACCGAGGCCATGTGCACTCTAGCAATCCGTAAAGTACACCTTAGGCAAGAACCACACTATCTTGGGGTATGAAGAAAGGTGCATTTCTTCCAAGACAAGTAACTCTTCTATGCATGTCCTTTTCTTGTTTGTTTGTTTTCTCTCTTAAGTTAAAGGTGTGGAGTACAGTTCAGGGTTAGGTATACAAATGTTCATTATGCAGGTACCCTTGTTGATGAGGTGTGTCCCCCCTCCCCTGGCAGATTCCCACTACTGCCAGGTCCACCTCCCTCCATATCCCCCATCCCCCAGCAGTTTCCCACTACTGCCAATCCTTTTCTTATAGTATTATGATAATTGTTCAAGGTCCACTTATGAGTGAGAACATGTGATACTCAGTTCTTTGTTTCTGTGATACATCACTCAGTATTATACACTTTAAGTCCATCTAGGTTACCGTGAAGTTCATGATTTTGTCCTTCTTTATGGCTGCATAATATTCCATTGTGTATATGTACCACCTTTTTTTTATTCAGTCCTCTTTTGATGGGCAGGCCGGTTAGTTCCATGTTCTTGCTACTGTGAACAATGCTGCGATAAACATAGTTATGCAGGTATCTTTTACATAGAGTGATTAGAGTTCTTCTGGGTATATTCCCAGTAGGGGGATTGCAGGGTCATATGGAAGGTCGATTTTTAGATCTTTTAGTAATCACCACACTGTTTTCCACAGAGGCTGTACTAGTTTATATTTCCATCAACATTATAGAAGTGTTCCCTTTTCCCCGCATCCTCTCCAGCATCTGTTGTTTTTTGAGTTATTGATGATGGTCATCCTGACCGAAGTTAGGTGGTATCTCAGTATTGTTTTAATTTGCATGTCTTTGATGACTAGTGAGGCTGAGCATTTTTTCATGTATCTCTTGGCTGTTTGTATGTCTTCTTTTGAGAAGTGTTTATTCATATCTGCTGCCCACTTTGTAATGGAGCTGTATGTTTTTTTCTTTTCAGCACGCTTGAGTTCCTTGTAGATCCTAGATGTTAGGCCTTTGTCAGACATATAGTTGGCAAGTATTTTTTCCCACTCCATGGGTTGTCTCCCTGCTCTCTTGATGGTTTCTTTGGCTTTGCAGAAGCTTTTCAGTTTGATGAGGTCTCATTTGGCTATTTCATCTCTTATAGCCTGGGCACTTGGGGTTTTGATCAGAAATTGGTTGCCAGTTCCAATTTCCATAAGGGTGTCTCCTGCATTTTCTGAAGTTCTTATAGTTTGAGGTTTTACGTTTAGGTCTTTGATCCATTTAGAGTTGATTTTTGTGTATGGTGATTGGTGGGGGTCTTGTTTTAATCTTCTGCATGTGGTCAGTCAGTTTTCCCAGCACCATTTACCGAATAGGTTCTCCTCTCTCCAGTGGTTGGTGATGGTGGCTTTGTCGAAGATGAGTTGGTTGAGAAATTGAGGTTTTGCTTCTGGAATCTCTATCCTGTTCCATTGGTCTATATGCC